TTAATATGCCCTGCTATTCCAAAGATCATAAGATACATGAGGAGGTTTCAAAAAGTTTGTGGAGAAATTCCATTAGCTTTCAATTCCACTTTTTCCAGAGACTTTTTGAAGCTCCCTTGTATAAATTTGTTGTAGCAGCCACATACCCCTGACCTTTAGAAAAACACTAGTAGCAATTACTACAAGCAACCCAGACCCCAGCTCAAGCCCCACCTATATTGAGTGCCAGGGAAGTGCTGTAGAGTTCTCTGGGGAATGTGGAGACGAGAGGATACATTTATGAGGAGTTGTGACTTATAGAAGTTGAACTCTTACTGGGAAGACAATGGAGAAGATTAGGGGGGTTGATAATAGGAGCCATGGTCTGTCTAGTATCTTTAGGGACCCTGCCCACCTTTTTGAGTCTTGATCTGAAGAAAGGAGGCAATGAACAGTTAGAATTGCCAGAATTTGACTCTGAGAAGACATTGCCTTGCAGGTGATCTGGAACTATTACAGGGTGACCACAGCAGAAGGGCAATGGCCTTGTTATTTATTTAGGGGTGTGTGTGGTGGTGAGAGGGGGCAAGAACTTAGCTAAAGATCGAACTCCTGTCTCCTCTTATTCCTGTCTGGCATGGGAGGGATATGTTATTTACACTCACACAAATATATATGAAGTAATTTTATTCTTACAAAAACCAGACTCACTGCCAGGGGTCTATTCCAGTTTTCAAAAACCGATGGGACAGAGTAGAACTGCCACTGTGGGTTTCAGACACTGTAAAACTTTGAGAGTTGAAAGCCTCATCTTTCTCCTGCAGAGTGGCAGTTGGTTTTGAACTGCTGACCCCATGGTTAGCACCCGACCCATAATCCACTAGCCACACGGCTCCTTAGATTTACATAGAAGTTGCTAAAATAGTACAGAGAATAAAATATAAGTGTCAGAGTCTGTGGATGCCTGTTGTTAGGGCAATGCCAGGGACTCAGAGAGACTCTATGCACCGCAGCACGGCAGTCTCA